TATATATATATATATATATATATATATATATATATATATACACACACACACACACACACACACACACACACACACACATACACTACAGGTTTGGGGTCGGTGAGATTTTTTTATGTTTTTGAAAGAAGTCTCTCCAAGGCTGCTTTTATTGGAAACAAAACTACAGTAATATTGTGAAATAAAATTGCAATTTAAATAACTGTTTTCTATATGAATATATTTAAAAATGTAATTTATTGCTGTGATGCAAAGCTGAATTTTCAGCATCATTACATCAGTCTTCAGTGTCACATGATCCTTCAGAAATCATTCAAATATGCTGATTTGCTGCTCATGAAAGTTGAAAACAGATGTGCTGTGTAATACTTTTGTGGAAACCGTGTTTTTTTTTTCTTCTTCTCAGGATTCTTCAATGATTAGAAAGTTCAAAAGAACAGCCTTTATTTAAAAATAGAAATCTTTTGTAACTGTCACATCATTTATGCTAAGTGAATGAGAAAAACATGAGGTTTCACACATGAGGTGAAAACTAAACATATTTAGCTGTCTAAATAAGGATATCCCACATACTTTACTAAAAACTAAACCTACAAATATTTTTATTCTTAAAAAACAAAACATGAAATGTCTCAAAATAGAGTTTTAGCTCACTTCTGGGGACTAATTTGCCCTAAAAAAATATAGCTACGTAAAAAAAAAAACAACAACACAATTTTCTAACCTGTACAGGCCCAGTCATTTTGTTTCTCCCTCCTGGCATCCCGTCTTCTCTGATTGCTGAAAAAGAGATAAAAAGTTGTGTTTCGGACTGCATACTTCCATACTACAAATACTATTTCAACAATATTCAGTATACCGTGCACAGTGTTTTTGTATTAAATACTGGATGACTTATTATTATTTTCCAGAATGTGCGCAATACGAGCACATCTTAAATAGTATATACAACAATGCAATTCTCTCAATATGTTGTTATATGTTCAATTTGACAAATTAACCAGCAATATCAACCAAGATTTTTAACGTCTCCTCTTGACTGATTTCTCAATGGGGCTGCAAAAATGTAAGATATTTTTTTACATAAAATTGATTTAAAAAATTACCCACATTGGTATACATGTAATGCATTATACAGCATATAAGCAGGTTGCTAGTATTGCAAATCAAATATTGCCAGAACGATGAAAGAGGAAGTTGGTGGTTGATCGAGCAATAAATACCAACAGCTCTCTCTGGTGTAAACCACATGCAAGTACAATCAACAGTGTTTGTCTTAGGCTAAAGCCTAGAAATTCTATATTATTTATATGTGTGTGTGAGAGTTTTGCCCAGAGAAACAGACAGGGACAGCATGCTCTGGATCAAGAAATCATCTGTTATCAGCATCGCAACCCAGATCTACTATCTGATTTCTGTGCATTATTTTCTTCAGGCATGCCCAATCAAACCCTGATCTATATCTCTTCATTTACATAGTAGAAAAATCAGATATCTGCTTCTAATGAAGCAGCATCAAAGAGCAGAAGAGGGGTACAGAGTTAAGAGGTAAATAAATACTAAATAGTGCATAAACCTTGAACATTTTGTTTTTGTGTTTCTACAAAAGACGTGCTGCATAATCAGGGTGAAATTGTAATTCTGAATGGATGTGTGTAAAAAAGGAGAAAGGAGAAGAAAAATAGCACAGGTAAAGATAAGAAAAAAACCAGGCCAAAGCAGAAGATAAAAGGATGTTTTAGCTGATTAATAGCCAAGTTTTAAAGATCTAAAGTTTTATAATATTTCTAGCATCAAAAACTTTAACTAAAAATAAATCATGGTTATTTTTATTTTCTTTTAGATGATGATAATGATGATAAAAATGTGCTTTTATTTACAAAAGAACATATTCATTTATACATAAATTATATTATTTTTTTTATAATAAACTAGAATTAGAAATTAATATAAATTATTTAGCATTGTTATTTTTTAAATTATATTGTTATTATATTCATATATTATTAGATCTTATTAATTAATGACTTATATTTTAGTTAAGGAATGTTTTATTTTTAATCTAATTTTCATTTTAATAATAATAATAATAACATCCTTGATTTAAACAGGTTTGTCACTACATTTCTTAAGCACAGGTATGCATGGTAACATGCCCATGAATGTAAACATGTTGGATTTAATCAGGACAAAATCTGCTGGTTTGAATCATCATCACCCGTGTGTGTGTGTCTGTCTGTCTGTGTCTGTCTGTGTGTGTGTGTGTGTGTGTGTGTGTGAGGTTGTGGTTGTGTGTTGCTCGTGTTTCGCTCACCCTTGCGGTTCATTCCCATCTGAAGGCATTTCTGCAGTCTGCAGTACTGACAGCGGTTGCGTTGCTTGCGGGACATCTGGCAGTTCTTGTCTCTGTTGCAGCGGTAGATGCGCTTGTTGCAAATACTGCGTTTGAAGAAGCCCTTACACCCCTCACAGGAAATGATGCCATAGTGCAGCCCGGATGCCCGGTCCCCACAGATCAGACACCAGCGCTCACCTCCGTCCTCTACAGAGAAAGAAAGAGAGATGTCATTTAAGTACACACAAATTAAAGAGTGAGGCCTCATTTTCAAAATGATCAGGGAAGTCCATAGTAATTAATATCAGCTTTGTATAAAAACAATAGAAGTCTATGGTATGTCCTCATATAGATAGCTACGTAAATGTGTATGTGTTTTGCTGAGGTTATCAGATATATAGTAAAACATGAATAATCTACTAAATAGTACCTTAATTAAAAACTAAAAATGTCATTAAAAACAGATAAATTAATACATTGATTTTATAAATATACTGATAAAAGAAAATAATCTAAAAACGTTAAAAAAAATTTTTTTTTTTAAATTTAAAATAAAAAAGTAATAAAATATATAATTTTATGTTATTTTCACATAGTACTCAAATAAAATGTAATTAAATTTCAAGAAATATTATATATATATATATATATATATATATATATATGACAGTACAACATATTTAATGTTGTTTTAATGCATTATTAAATTAAAATAAAATAGTTCTCTTAAAGAAAATAAAATCTAAAAATGTAAAAAAAATAATGAAATAACAATAAAATAAAGTATATAAAAGTAACAAAATACATGATTTCATGCTATTGCTAAAATACATTACTAATAAGTAATACATTACTAAAATAAAATAAAATATTATATGTATATTAAAATATATGTATATAATATAATACATTTTTCAGATAAAATAAAATTCTATTTAAGATATAAGAATCTATTAAATATAATAAAGTAATACAATTTATTATTTTGTGATTTTAATACAATCTAAAATATCAAAAATAATACATTTTGTTATTTTAATACATGACTATAATAAAAAAGGGTTGGAATTTTTTTTCTGATATACACATCAGCATCAGTCAATGGGATATAAATATATGTGCAAATATAATCTGACAAAATAATCTTTTCCGTTAATATTAAGAACAGGGAAACAAGAAAGACACACACCTTATCACAGCTATCTCTGTGACGTCTGATAGTAGGTTAATATAAGTTTACTGAGCTGTTGAAATCATTGTAATCTCACATGTATAAAGTTAAATAAAGTTCTAAAAGTTCTTATCTAAATCTCAGTGCAACAGAGAGCAGGATTACGCAAATACAGCGACCCGCGCACACCAGGAATCATCGGCAGTCTCACTGTGCGTTTGAGATGACTTACAGCATCATGCAGCGTGACCCAGATTTCACTACAAACCACAGAGACACAGAGCTGACAGGAAGGGGGATGGGAAACAGAGAAAGTGAGACAACTGAATGAAATCTATATTTAAACAATATCACAGTCGCACAGATATTCAGTAGTCAAATTTTCCAAGAATGTGTACAATTCCACGTACGGACTGTGCAATCATTATTCAAATCAATCTATGAATAGTTTTAACCGCCCAGATGAACTGATTCACAGAAATTAATCGGCTAAACTTGGCAGACATGTTGGTTTCTCAAAAATGCTGGTGAACTGTAGAGGGAGCAGGTGAGTGTCGGGGTCACGGAAAGGTCTTCTAAAAGCCTGAAACGGCTAAACGGTACGGAAAGCACTCAACCTAACCCTGAACTCTAGAGCCATTTTACAACCCTCAAGAAGGCCGTGGGTTGTAAGGGCACAGTATTGTGTGGATTGGGTCAAACCCAGGTCAAACTTTATAGCCAACGCCAACTATGGAACACACATTTTTAAAATTGAACAGGGTGACATACACAAACACACACATCCGCTCTCATTCACTCCATCTAATATGTCCGATGTCTAAATAAAAGCAATAATAGTTTTTTTTTATTTTTTTTTATCACCCACAGGCTAAAAAACTGGCATATTTGTCATTATGCCACAAAAAATCAGACTCAGACAGCAGGGTGAACCGAAATCATTTTAAATGCAAATAATAAAATGAAATTAACCATATAATTGTTCAAAGTTTGCATACTAAAATCAGCTTACAGTATGCAAATGTGTTTTTCTGACAATATTATGGACCAGCAGTCGGACCAGTGCAGTTTATTTTCATCTTAATTGGTTTTATGTTTGATTTTAAGGAATTCAAATCTAATCAAAAGATTTTTTTAAATAAAAAGGGTTAGAATTTATGTATTTTTTCTGATATACATATCAGCATCAGCTATTAAAAAACACAGCCAGTCAATGTGCTATAAATATATGCATATATTTAAATGGGACATAACACACACAGTTTCTGCCAATCTCATGTTAATAATATGTCACAATATTTTTTATGTATTTCTGATCAAATAAATGCAACCTTGGTGGGCATAAGAGTGCATGTGCTCATAGCACTTTTGAGGTCATGCACCAACAAAGTAGTGTATGAGTGTTTAAAATGTTTATCATTGTATAATGCATACTGTTTCACATGCAGTTTAAACAAAGTATGCACACAGTGCTTACTGCATATAGTATACAGTAATCTACTACTCTACTCTGAACAGGCCTGTGATTCTGCTGATCAGAAGGAACAGTCATTTCACAGTCAGCGTGTAATGATGATGCCGGCCCATCTAGTTCACAGCAGGAGCAACACATCCCTTGATTTCCCTACATCCCTCTGTCATTCTCACTGCACGTCTGTCTATCCCCTGTTCATGCTGTTCTAGATCTGTCAGTGTGTATTACTGCCTCCTACATTCAGAAGCAATGGAAATCACAAGCCTGCTGTGTCTCTTGCTATCTTTCTAGCTTGTTTATATCACTCAGATAGTACCAAACCACTGAAAATAGGAAGTAATGGCTTTAGAGGAAAATATTAATAATAAAATGACCAGATCAGATGTTATTTTATGCCATCATGACTTTAACCTTAGCCTTGAAGTATCTGAAGATTGAAATAGCTGATAGAAAATATACATTTAAAAATCAACATTTCAACAATCAACAATCCTTCGTATTGGTTTCTAGTCTTATTTAGCTGTTTGGCCAAATAACAAAACCCATTGTGCATGCTAAACTTATAGTGATACTAGTAATACATTTATCCCGCCTAAAACAACACATTGAACCCTTGTAAAAAAAAAAAAAAAAGTGTGCTTAATTGTATTGAATGTGCACTTGTAGTGTACTTGCAGGTAATATAATATTAATAAAATAAAAGACCACTTAAGTGTACTTAAGTGAAGTTAAGTGTACTTAAGCAAATAAACTTCCATGATTATGTTTCTTAACACACTTAAGTACACTTTTAAATTAAGTTTTACTATAAAGTACATTTTAAAACATCGTTTTAATCTTTTGTTGTGTATTTTGACGTGTTGACCAAACTACGCACATGAAATTAAAGCACATGTAAATTTTTGAAATAATTTATATTAATTTACTATTAATTACTCAAATAAATTACTTGATTTTAATTTGAACTGTAGTGTGTTATTTGACATTACGTTTAAATAATATAATTAATTATATTGTATATAGTTATAGATTTAAATTGCAAATTGATAATTACAAATACTGTATGTAATAATTACAAATATATTTAAATACATGGCATACAAGTTTTAATAGAAATTGCATTAAAGTTTATTTTTCGTTTACCATAAATACTTATCAGTATATCCGGCAGTACACATATTTCAAAGACAATATTTCAATTATGAAATTATATTTAAAGATGTACTTAAGTCCTTCTTAAGTGGGTTAAACGAACAGCATTTAATATACATTTAAACTCTTACACACTTTATACATAGTACCATATAGAATTATACATACTATCATATATATTTTTAATTGTAAACAACATGCGATTAAGTGTCTGTAAACATTATATTATACTGTCATCATTTACTTACAAGTTGTTCCAAACCTTTCTTCTGCTCAACACAAATGATTATATTTTGAAGAATGTTGGTAACATTCCAGTATTTTTTTCATTCTATGGAAGTCAATGGCAACCATCAACTGTTTGGTTACCAACATTCTTCAGAATATCTTCTTTTATGTTTAACAGAAGAAAGAAACTCATAAGGGCTTGGAAAATCTTGAGGGTGAGTAAATGATGACAGAATATTTTATTTTTGGGGGAACTGTCCCTTTAAATTTGCACTTATGAATATTCCTTTTAAGTATATTATTTCTGTATTAAGTACTCACAAATTGTGTTCAAGTGTACTTCTTCACAAGGGTATTTACACTACACAATACTATTGGTGTAAATTTCATTTTCACAGAGGAGTGTAACTTATCAGTCTTCCTTCTGATTGGGAGGAATGAAGGATTTAAACCTGCAGAAGAACCTGGTGTGACCGGATCCAGCATCTAGATCATTGGTCTGTGAGCCCCAGTCCTATTTTATGGAGTTTTAGATATGCCTGGTTACTTCATATGTTCCTATGTACTTGCATTGACCTAGTTAACACATGCTGTGCGAGAGGGTCACCACAGGCAAAGAGGATTGTGGGAAATGCACCCCTAGAGTGTCCAGAATGATTAGGGGCACACACAAAAAAAACTCACAAACACACATAAAAATGTTTTGTTGTTTTTAGACAGGTGTGTGTTATTGCTCCCAGCTGAAGGCAGAGCGTAACAAACCGTATAAATTAAGCGGATGATAACTGCCCGATGGCGAAATGTATTTATCTACCACATCTCCTCTGTTCTCTTTGATCATTATATCTTTCATCAATTATTCCCAAGAGTCTCCCGCCTCTTTCTGTTTGTCTTTTTTTGTCTGTCTCTCTGTCTATGCAAATGAACTCAGCCAATCAGAGAGCTCTAATTCAGAGCATCAGGAATCTCAGCCAATCAAAATCCATCACTCAATGCACATGTCCAAATTCGTAAGCGGCACATCTTTTGGGTCATATATAGTTAATCTCAAATACAGCAAACTAACAACGAGGATGCTCGCTCTGTAGTGACTCATCCAGCATGTTTGTTTACCATGGCAGATTCTTCATGCCAGAAAGAGAAGAAGCAGGCATTTCTCCAGTTATCATTTAACGCTTAAGACGACAAGCAGCTAGTCTTGTTTATCTGATCAGAGTCAACACAACTGGAGAGTCGAGATAAATATGTCAAGGTAAGAATGTTTTATGCGTTCTCTTGTAATGTATTTGTAGCTTTCTCCATATCTCACTGTAAGTTCAGTTGCTCTTTTGTCTGATTCAGTTGGTTCAGCTTTATGCATTGTGACACTGACCCAGTTCTACTAAATAAATTTTGCATATGTAAATGACTGCAAATGCAAATGACTGCATTGCTAATTAGAATCTAATTATTATATTAAAAGAAATCAGTGTCTGTATTGCATCAAGAACTATTATGGCATTGTGATAAATTTATGGCACCTTATTATATACCATGGTACTGAATGATTTTCATATCCAAATACCATATACATAGATCAAAAAACATACTAATACCATGGTACTTTTACATTTACCCAGCTACTTAATGGCTATCACATCCATTTACCATGGTATTTAAAGGTTGCACCAAAGAACATTATGGTACACAAAACAAAATACCACAGTATTTTGATATATACCATAGTATGGAATGATTACTACACTCAGAAATAAAGCTATTTACATGGTATTTCAAAGAATAATTAAAAAAACATTAGAAAAAAAAATTAGAAGCTTCTCAAGCATAATAAATGGCAGCAACTCTTTTACAGGATAATAGTGTATAATGTATGTATTTTGGTGTACGATTCGCTTTCTCATTTTTAATTCAAATGAATACCACTAAAGAGCATCATACAATAGCAGATGATTAAAACCACATAATTTCTCTCTAAATAAAAATATATGCTTTCCCTGAGCACATGATAATAATTATATGCTAAAAAAAAAAAAGAAATTGCATATAATGATACAATCTCCTAGTTTGATCTAACACACACGTTTAATCAAAGGATAAATCAACATAAGATTCAGCATATTTAACATTGAGGTTGGGATATGCAAAGACACACCTGGTGCATTCTGGGAACATTCAACGCTGTCGGTGAGTTTGGATGTATATAAGAAACCATCGACCGTTGGCTGTGCCCTGAAATTACCATATACTATGTCAACTCTCTCCTAGCAAACCGATCACTGCTTTTCTCATTATTACGGCTGCGATATACATTCATTGATGTCGTTGGGTTTAACATGCGAGCGACTCACTGACCAATGAGTGCAAACTGCAGTAGGAACACTGGAACATCGTCTGGTAAGACATTCAGACACTACATTTGTGACCTTCAGACCTAAAAAACTACTAACAGACCTTTAAAGACAAAATACTGACCTATAGATGTCAAATTAGCGGAGAAAACAGCATAAACTTCTCAAACCTTCACTCAACAAGCACAGGATGGTGTAAAATGTAAGGTAAGCAATGCTGCACTTTTGGTTTTTATTAAACAGCTATCTTGGAGTTTAAAATATTGGTTCTGTCTGGTTAACCGCTGCATTCAGTGGTCAAATACTTTCATAGAGTGACACTAAACTGAATAATTAAATGTTCTGTAATATTTTAATATTAGGAATACTATAGGAATTATAATATTAAAGGAGTAGTACACCCAAAAATGAAAATTTGCTGAACATATTCTTATCCTCAGGCCATGCAAAATATAGATAAAATTGTCTCTTCATCAGAATAGATTTGGAGAAATGTAGCATTGCATCACTTGCTCACTAATGAATCCTCTGCAGTAAATGGGTGCCGTCAGAATGAGTCCAAACAGCTGATCAAAACATCACAATAATCCTCAATTAAAATAGACTCCAGTACATCAATTTACGACTTAAGTGAAAACCTGCATGTTTGTAAAAGAAAAAAAAATCCATCATTAAGATGCTTTTAACTTCAAAACAAGTCCTCTATACATTCTTTCTCCAGTGAAAAAGTCTTCTTGTCTGAATCAGGAGAGAAATATGCACAAATCAAGCAGCGTTTACAAGCATAAACAGTCCAAAACAGATCTAAATAAATATGTCGGTGGATTTTAATGTGAGAGAACAACAGGTGATGGACATTTTCACAGGAAGAAGTGTCATTATGTATTATGGACTCATATTTTGCCCAGAAGTGACAGTTTGAAGTCATGATGATGGATTTGTTTCTTACAAACACGCAGCTTTTCACTTCACAAAACATTAATTGATGGACTGGAGTGGTGTGGATTACTTGTGGATTATTGTGATGTTTTTATCAGTTGTTTGACTCTCATTCTGACGGCACCCATTCACTGCAGAAGATCCATTGATGAGCAAGTGATGTAATGCTACATTTCCTCCAAATATGTTCTAATGGACAAACAAACTCATCTACATCTTGGATGGCCTGAGGTTGAGGACATTTTCAGCAAATATTCATTTTTGTGTGAACTATTTCTTTAAATATTATAATTTTGGAAAGAAAATCCAAATCACCAAAATACTTTTAGCCAATCAGATGCCTACAATCCCTGCTTGTTATTGGTGCCTGATTGCTGACCTAACTTTGACTCCACTGCCACAGTGAGTGAAGGTGATGTCACCAGTATGTGTGTGTATGTGTGTGCTTCTGGAAGGTTCTTCCGCCGCTTTACGGCTTAATTGGTTTCTCACATGAATCAACTGCTTTCTCTAACAATGTTTGACCCTCACTTGTACAGCTTTACAGCAGCATGCATGCATCCGAGAAGGATTTGTTGGCAACATAAGATCAGACGCTCCTGAACTAATTCTAACCCCTAAAAGATGCAATTTCACCAGAGCTTTGGAGAATGAGAGAGAGCTCTGTGACAAGCTCTGCTGGTGAAGCTGAGTACTGCAGTCACATTTTATGCTGGATGCTATGTTTTATTCCAGAATGTCACAATAGACTCAACTCTTATCCCTTAAAGGGATAGTTCACCCAAAAATGAACATTCTGTAATAATAATTTACTCACCCTCAAGCTGTTCCAAACCTGTATGAGTTTTTTTCTTCTGTTGAACATAAAGAAGATATTTTGCCATTGACTTCCATGGCAAGAGGAAGAAACACTATGGAAGTCAATGGCTTACTGCTTGGTTACCAACATTCCTCAGAATATCATCCTTTGTGTTTAACAGAGGAAAGAAACTCATGCAGGTTTGGAACAACATGAGGGTGAGTAAATGATAAAGGAGTGATCATTTTTAGGTTCATTTTAAGAATGTTCATTTTTACTATCCCTTTAGTTAAAAGTTTTTTTTGTACTTAAAAAAAAATAAAAACACACAATACAATTTTTTTTTAAATGATCACCACAATATAATGTTCACTAGTCCCTATGATCTAAAATATATGTTTGAGACAAAGCACAGAAACGAGTAGGTGTCAGCATGGAGATCAAGCACAGACCGTTCCCTCACCTGTGTCGTCCTGAAGGGAGTTCTCTTCATAAAAACCTGCAGATGAGAGAAAGAGTGAGAGGATATGAGGGGAAGAGAAAAAGGGGACATTAGGATGTTGGTATTTATACAGCAGAATTAAACATTTTCTAAAAGACAAAAGTAGTCATTACTGTTTTTGACTTGTATAAATTAAAGAGTTTTCTAGGTTTATTTGTTGTGTTATTTTAGTATTATTTATAAACCATTATAATATTTATTAATATTTTGAGTTGGATTTTAAAATGTTCAACATTTTTAGTTTCATTTTTAGTAATTTTGTTATCATTTTTATTAGTTTATGCTTTCTTAAAAAATATTTTTGTTTAGCTTTAATTTATATCAATTTCAGTTTAAGTAATTCAGCTTAAACTTATTTAATTTCCCCATTTAAAATTTTTTTCTATATACATTTATTTAACTTTATTTCAATTAACACTAAATTAAAACTATTTTTAATAGTTTTAGTTAGTGTTAACCATAAGTTTTTTTTTTGTACATTTGTTTAATACTATTTCTGTCAGGACCACTATCGTCAAAGATGATTGACAATTAGCATACAGGTTGGATTGGCGGTATGGTTCCGTTCTGGGCAAGAACTCCTTGCGCATCCATGCAGCCTAGCATGGATGAGAGCAGGGAGAGCAGCGATAACCCCCCAGGGTAAACAGAACAGAACCAACATAAATGTATGGCAGATATCGTTAAAGTTCAATAATGTTAAGTACACATTTTAGAATTAGTCTAATTCAAAGGAGAATCAGAAGGCTGAATCCCGACTGACAGAGGAGGAGTTGGGGATGGAGGAGGCTAATTAGCTATTGAGCAATGCGAAAACTGCTGATACTACTGCGGGACCATATATATGAATGCTTAGATAGGCGTTGTATTCCCATAGGTTGATGGGGATCAGCGGAGAGTCAGCTGATGCGAGCTTGACTAACGTGACCTGCCAGAACTAACACAACGCTAGATGTCTGTCGTTGAGGTCCTCATTGTTTTGCGCCAAATAATTGCTGTTAAATAATTTATATTTAAATACATTCTTTGTAGTTAGCTGCTTTTCTTAGCTTGTTTTTCTGAAGGGTAAATTGACTTTAAATTATAAGTAGCTTTAACAGTTTTGAGTGACACAAGGATGAGTAAATTCCTTCAATAAATATCTTTGCAGGCATTTCGGCTATTATCATAATCTATTTCAAGCTATAATGAACATTAAAATGTTCTTATAATGGACACACTTAAATGTTGAACAGCAGTTCATCGTACCACACAAAACATCAAGAGCTCTTTAAAACAAAGCCTCCTGTCTTTCTTAAAACAACACTTTCTCTATCTATCTTCCTCTCATACACACACACACCCATCTGCCCAGTCCTCTCACTTCTGTCCCTCAGGATGTGACCTCCGTGACCTCTTCAGAAAGTGCCACGTGTGTGTGTGTATAAGTGTGATCTCTTTGGCTCGATGACAGCTGCGGATTTTTGATCTGCCACACGCATGGCTCCACACACACACTCCAGCTATCCACGGCATATGGTGGAGCAGAACACACACGCACTCCACCAACCGCAGGCTCCTTGAAGATAATCTAATATCTGTGATGGCTGTAGGCCGTTGATACTGAGCTACAGTAGCGAATGTTCACCGTCTGCCTTCTGTGACATACATTTTCTCACTCTATCCCACTCAACCCTCCTCAGACCATTAAGATACAGTATTTAACTTCTGGATTAAACAGGTAAGATATCTATAGGGCTGGTTCTCCTCAATCTAGTAATACTGCTATAATTTCCATTAGTGGTTCACCAAATTGTGTTTTTCAGTTATATATACACATACAGTGGCTCTAAAAAGTTTTTGGACACTTAAGATGTTTTGACATTAAAATGTTTGAACATCCCTGCAATTAATAGCAAAATATCAAACCGAGTGGCATTTGCATGTTGCACTAAAGTTTGACAACCAGAGTTTATAAATTATAATATAAATATCAGTATATCTATGGTTTTGTCAGATTTGATGTCAAATGTTTTTATTCAAACAAGAAATCAAAATACATTTATAATATTAAAAAAATATACATATATTTTATATATTAATATAAAAAAAATTTTCAAAATATATACTACTTCGTATGATATTTCAATATAAAGCAATTAAATTCATACATGTTGTGCCTTTAAAGTTTGCAAATACTTTGTGGTCACTGAAAATATTTATAAAATTACTATTGTAAAATTTTATTTAAATTATATAATTTAGTGATATTAATATAATGATGGCAAATAAAATGTTTTTATAAACAGTATTAAATACATTGATATTAATAACACTAAATGTGTACTTTATATAAAATTTAAATGAGTTTAACGTCATCAAATGGAAATATTTTTATGAAAAATAAATATATTAACATTAATAAATGTTGATATTTTTCATAAAAATTGTATATATTGATATTAATATTTAAAATTTTTTTATTTTATGTACAATTGAAATGACAATTTAATAATAGAAAATTTTGTTTACAAACAATGCTAAATATATTTATATTAATATTAATAAATGCACATTTTATACACAATTTATTTTATATAAAATGTATTTACATTTTTAAATGACAATTTAATAATAGAACATTAATAAAAAATATTATTAATATGTACATTTATTTATATTAATATCAATGTTGATTTTTATTTATACATACAATTGATATGGTCTTTTATGAATCTGTACATCATAAATTGGAGTCCATGAGAAGCAATGGAATAGGTTGTAAGCTAAAAAAAACAGCATGATACTGCGCTGCTCCATCTGTATTCACATAGGACAAACAAATTTCCAGGCACACACACAGTCCAGGCATGCATATACACACACAGGTATAGAGGCATGTGTGTACAAAAGCACACACACACACACACACACACACACCAACACCCCACCCCCCGCCTGCAGAAGAGAAGGATGAGGCTGCTCAGATGTCTTCTGTTCCACTTGGCTGATGGAAGGAAAGAGGGATCGGGAGGGGAGCTGTACAGATGTAGTAGTGATATGTAACCTGAATATCCATTTATTTTCCATTTTCCAGAGCTTCATCATTCAGATCCAAGGACATGATGAGATCCCAGCCGACCCCCCTGGTCTCTGCTCATCACAATGTGTGTGTGCATATGAGTATGTGTGGTCATCTACACTCTACACACATATTCAGGCCTAAATTTAAGATTCATGTACACTGAAAAAATCTGGATTAGGATTTGCTTGAAAAAAAAAAGCTAGGAAACAATTTTCTCTCAGTAACTGCTAGTAAACATCACAAATAACTACAGAGAAACTACAAGTAAAACACAGATTCCAATGAGATATTTTGAAGTAGAAAGAATAAAAAAAGTATAAGAATATTGAAACATATTCCAATCATCTATTTTTAAGAGGGTGCTGGAATCACATATAAAATGTCTTGTTTTAACATAAACAACCTAATATTTTTCAGTAATAAATGGGTAATAAATAGGTAAGATTTCTGCTCTCAGAAAAGATCGTTATTTGCATGCTATTGCACAGAAGCAACTACTTGCATTTTCTTCAGCTTCAAGTTAAAAATCTAGTTGCTTGATTTACAACGGAATCATATTTTAATTTCTGCATGGCAGCAATTTATTGCATGGTGTTTTAGAAGTGATTAAAAATAAGAGTTGGTTCAAATATGAAAAAGAAGAGAAAATGTTAAACATCTTTTTAAGATGTTTGTTATGTTATCTATAAAAATTGAAACCTAAAAGATTTCGAAAACACAGATCCTCATCCAACACCTTTAAAGGGACAGTCCAGCCAAAAATGAAAATTCTGTCATCATTTACTCACCCTCATGTCGTTCCAAACCGGTATGACTGCCGAACACAAAAGAAGATACTTTGAAGAATGTTGGTAACTTGGTGACTTCCATTGTATTTTTGTCCACACAATGGAAGTCAATGGAAACCAAAGCTGTTTATTTACAAATATTCTTCAAAATGGGTCTTCCAAAGAAGAAAGAAAAGTCACACAGGTATGGAATGACATGAGATTTAAAAGAATTTTCATTTTTGGCTGGACTATCCCTTCAAAATGCAATAGAGGTTTTCTGCTTTAAAAATGCAATTTATACGGCAAAATTAATGGAAAACAAAAACTCTCATGGGGCAGAACAAATCTACCTGTTCGACATGTCCGTCAAGGTTTCTATGGCAACAAGAGGGTCAAAACAATGGGTCATGGAATGGCCAGGGGCAGGGGGTGGTTTTATGATCCCTGTGTGGGTGGGAGGACAGGAAGTTTATCTTCTATGCGTTTATGACGTGTGTTTGTGTTTGTTTATTTGTGGGGGAAGGGCAAACAACCTTATAGGTAAAATCTTTAAATCACTCACACACACACACACACACACACACACACGCGCGCACACAAACCCCCTTTCACAGTAATTATACTACTAGTGGAGGAAATTTGAGTTTTTGTTTTTTTTAGCTTGATATTTAAAGTCTAATTTATATAAATCACCAAAAAATAATTACTTCTTATAGTGAAAATGTATTTAAATGCATATGCATATAAAGCACATCCATGTTGGCATCTCCTTCCTCTTTCTTTTTCTGCTCTGTAAGGTCAGTGAGAGGAGAAAGGTCACTCAGAAGTGAAAGGTCAAGGCTGTTGACTATACAGTTGTATTCTGGTATGTGCAGTGACCAATCCAGTGTTTCTATAGCAACACTGATCAGCTAGACTTAACGTAACTGTTGAATTGATGAGTTTCAGGTTCTATAAATATGAAACCTGTCATGTTGAGTTTATGTGTATTTGTGTTGTCCGCAGTGGCTGTATGTGTGTGTGTGCATATCTGTGCCGAACAGATGCTGGAAATGCAGCTGTAAAATCTGGAAGTCCTGGCAACCTTTGTGTGCGCTAAAAACAAGCTGGTCATCCTAAGATTGTGTGTGCATTCTCCTTCATGGACTGAAAGCTTCTGGCTTTTCTCTCTTCAGACACTATATATATATATACACTTATTATATATATATATAATATATATATAACTTTATTTAGCAAAA